CACCAACACCCATCGTGAGGTTCAGGGGCACACTGAAGGGACAAAGAGCTTAAAACAACTAAGGCTATTCATGGGGGGAGAAGAAATCCCTCTCTCACCTTAGTCAGCCTCTGAGGGTGATTACAGATGGGAAGGAGCCCCTTCTCCAACATGTGTGGCCTTGCGTAATCATGCCTCAGCACTGCTACCTGGGGGGCGGGGGGGCAGATGGTTAAGCTCTGTCCCTCGGGAGCTGTGTGGCCTCGGGCACGTTGCTTAACCTCTCCGGACCTCGGTTGCTCTGTTCACCAAGGGGGATAGTAATAATGGCGATGTGCTTCATAGGGTTTCAGAGAGGATAAATGAGTGAGGATAAATGAGTAAGTACAAGGTGTCTACGTACAGTGCCTGGCACACAGTGAACACTGAGTTAGTGTTAAAAACTATTCCCACGGCAAGTTCTCACGGCTGCATAACTCAAGGAAACACTGAGTTTAAGACAAATAGCCTCCTTCACTGCAAAGCTTCTCAAAATAACAGTGTTAATAATGATGATGATGTTAGGTACCTCAAAAGCTGAGAGGATTAAATGAGATAAAGAATGTACGAGACCCTCAGCCCCCCATGCACATAATGAGTACTTAAGAAATGTTCCCTACGAGTGCTATTAATAAGCATGGTGGGTCTTTAAGACAAGGAGAAGCATTTTCCAGACTTGTGCTCTCTTTTTCCTACAGAGGATTGAACAGAATCAGTGCTCTAGGAAACATTCTGGAAAAAAAAAAAAAAAAAAAAAAAACACCACAGAGCAGGGTGGCCACATGTCTTGCAACCCTGTTGCCAAGGGACTGGAAAAGAGGAGGCTGGGCAGGGCAAGAGCAGCAGGGATAACCGCCTGATGGGAAGGGAAGGGCTGGGGAACCGTCTCCTCCAGCTCCCACACGCCCTGCGGGGTGGCGTGCCTGTGGAAGGGGTGTGGGTCTGTGACCCAGAAGAGCTAATTTGCATCTTGGCTTGGCCACTGTCTAGCAGGGTGAGCCGGGACAAGTCACTGAGCCTCTCGGGGCCCGGTGTCTTCCCCTGTATAATGATGGGAGGTGGGCTAGAAACTTGAGAATTTCTAACCTCCCTTCTGGGTCCAGGATTCTGTTTGGGTACATTTCTGTCAAAACGGGGGAGATGGAGAGAAAAAGAATGTCTAAGTCGTGGTCGCTTCTAACCACGATCCCTGATTCTACGCTTATTTGCAGGGGCTTCCACCCAGGTTCTAACACCTGCTCACTCACTCAGGTGCTGTATTCCGTGTGGATTGAGGATGTTAATAAAGAAAAAGGGTGACGTGTCAAGTCAGGCCATGCCCGTCAAGGGGTGGGGGAGAGAGAAATGAAGACTGGTCCTCAAGCTAACCCCTTCCGTATCTGTACCCCTAAACGCACTCTACCAAATGGCTAGATTTTTTTTTTTTTTGAAGAAACCTGGTGACCACCTTCTGTATCTTCCACAAACTAAATGTCAGGACCATGATGTTGGAAGGGACTTTCTGTGCCGCCAGGTAGAAGATGCCATCTCAGAGACAGGATACGGAAGCTGACATTTCAGCTTTGGGAAAAAAATGCAGTTGCTTAGTGGGGACAAGGGACAGAAACAGCTGAAAACAGGAGGGTCTCTCCTGGGAGTCGGGATAATATGATCATCATGCCCAGGACCTCCTCCTCCTCCTCCTCTGCACATCGGTGTGTTCCACACAACAGGAGCGTTGATCCCTCTGCATCAGTGGAAATAGCAAGCTGCATCCTCGGGCATTCCCACGGAGATAATAAAAACCATACCGTATGCTTGGATTGGCATCCACCACTCCCAGCGAGGTCCAAGTCTTGTCTCAGGGATCCCACCTCCCCTTTAGGCTTCATAGCGAGACAAATCCGTCCACTAAAATGATTGCAGAGGGACAATCCTCCCCCACCCCCCATTTAACTTACTAAAGCCACTAAGAGGCATAAGTGACCTACTTGGGTCATATTCATATGCCATAAACTTCTCACCCAAACAGCAAACGGAGTAGCATCTCCCCAACTACAGGCTGAGCACCCGGCTGACCCTTTGTCCTGCTTCTGTTCTTATTTCCTGTTGTCTATTGTCTCTCTGATAAGTGCTGACAGAGGGAAGGCTATTATTTAATTGCTTTAAAGATATCAAACAAGCCAGTGCCAGGGTTATCTCCTCCCTACCGCCTCTATTTTTCTGGCTCAAGGTTGGGTTACTTAGTTACTGACTGAGCGTGGCAGAGAAGTAGAGGCAGCCCCAGGTGTGGCAGGGCAGACTTCATCCAGCAAGTGTGTGTGTGTGTGTGTGTGGTGGGGGAGAGTCAAAAGAATAGCCATGAGGAGTCAAACAGGGAACCAGAGCCTCCAGGGTGGCTGCTGAGTACAGGTGGCAGCAAAGCCAAACAGGTCTTTCGAGGCATTCAAAGCAGGGAGGGGGAGGTGTACATTATCTAGACAAAATCAACAATCATTCTTGATTACACGTTTTCTGCTGTCAAGGTCAATGCTATTCAGTCCCCATTCACTGGGCCCTGCAGAAGAGACAGGTGCGCCTGAAGTGGATCGGGCCAGTATTTTTTCCAGGACCCAACCTGGCTTAGGCAAGAGAGAGGAGACGTCACAAGAAAAGGACAGGAAGGGGCATTTCACTGTATTCCATCTCTGAGATAAAGAACATTGTTGGAGGAGGTGGGTCACCGAGAGGAGGTTACTACTGTCTGGTTGACATGCAAGGTGGCCTCCGGCGACTGAAGGCCCCCGATCTTCCTCCGCTGTCCTTGGAATGTACGCTCCACCCATTGTTCCCATACTAGGAGCCACTTCAAGGATGCAGCCTTGAGAGAATAATGTATTACTGAGCCCATCTGGCCTTTAAAGCCTCTGTAGAAACTTTAAGATTTTGGCCATGGGTGCAGAGACGTCCTCGTCTTGCAGTGCCTAAGACAGGCCTCCTAGGTAAATTCTCTTGCTTCCTAAAACCGCCACCTGCCCACCAGTGACCTGCCAATTTCTTCAATCCTTCTTTGCCCTCTGTGTACAGGGGCCAGTTTCAGAGGTCACCCCGGGAACTCCTGAGGTTGCAAACCAGCAATCACACAGAGGGGTGCCAACTAACCACCCAAGCTGCCTTGAAGGAAGCGATGATCCTCATCTTCCGGGAGCAGTCTGCTTCTGCTGGTATCGTACTCATACTAAAATAGGAATAAAACCAAAGCAAGCATCATGCCATTGGGGTCATTGTCAGGCAGGGGGTGGGGGGGAATCGGGGCATCGAAAGCCAGCAGTCCATTTCTTGTGTAGGTTACAAAACTGATGCCTTTTAAAACACACACGCACACGTTCAAGACCTTCGAAAAGATAACATGATCACAAGGGAAGAAATCAGAGTGCGGAGTGGGCACTCGGTCAATCTTCTTTTTCCCCAGAAACCAGCCGGGTCACCGGTTTTAAACTGGAGATGACAACAGGTATTGCTGCATGAACTGCGCGCCTTGCGCATACCTCCCATACTGGCTCATCACCACTCTGCCCTCCTGGGACTCTCACCACTCCACCTCTCCCAGCCACCCACCAGCAGGGGCGTCCCCCTGCTAGTGAGCTACCTGCCCCAGCCCCTCCACCCTACACACAGGAGTCTAAAGAGAAGCTGGCTCCCAGATGGCTTGGAACATAAGGCAACCGCTGGCTAAAATGCTGTCTAGCTCCTAAGCTCCCGCATGAGGGATGCAAGCCCCATCATAACCAACATCTCAGAAAGAGACAAATCCAACGAAAAGTCCTGATCCCCACCCCGGCAGCAGGTACCCCAAGACACACTGTAGCCCGGATGGAAACCTGCAGCTGACCGCTACCTCTGCTGATGGTTTCTTTCCCGGGTCACTCACCTATCCCTAGGGCTCACCCTACCTGCCAAACAGCCTCTGGACTTGAACTTTTAACGGGTGGATTTGGAAGTCAGACAACAGAACGGCCAGTGCAAGGCAGGCAGCACAGCCCATGGAGAAAACCGTCGTCGGTGTTTGCTGTCTCCCTTCCCTCCTGCTAAAACTGGCCGCGGGATGGTGAGTGCCTGTCTGTACCTGGAGGAGGACGAGGAAGGAGAGGCTGCAGGATTGTGACTTATTAATCTATTGGAACAGAGGCTGAATCATCGCAGTCAGAAACGAAATCGCTTCAACTGGGGCGATTCAGCTCCCACTTCCTACGTGTCCCCCTCGGCTCGCACACAGCGGGAACATGTTAGGTGGCCGGGAGCCAGCTGAGTCGCACCAGCAGGTGCCTACAAAGGCCGGCGACCGGCCGCATTGGCCTGTACCTCTGGGCGTGCACAGCTGGGAGGGGGCAGGAGTGCTGCTCTGCTGAGCCCTGGCGGCTCCCTGAACCGAATTCTGGAACCCCTGTGCCGGCTGGATGGCCTGGAAGGGAGGGGAGCCGGCCCCCCGCACGAGGCGCTCTCCCCCCAGCCCTGCGCCCTGGGATGACCCACGGCAGGCACGGCTTTGCCAACCTGTCCGACCCAGGTGATGGCACAGGGTCCCAGGCGAGTCTGGGTCACCTGGGCCGCCACCCCAGCAGCCCTAGCCGGGTGAGACACACGCGATTCCGTGAACGCGATACGAGGGACTGCAGCGCGTGAGCCTGCCACGAGTGGGAGCGTCCGGGGGCCCGGGATCGCCGACCCCTGACGCCCCCGCCGCCCGTGAGCTCCACCCGCAGCCCCCGGCGGATTCTCCGCGCGGCTCAGCCCGGTCCTCCTACGGACCAGCGGGCGGAGCGAAGCTGCTGTGACGTAACCCGGGGGAGGGGGGGCGCGGGGAAATGTGCAGAGGGGCCCGGGCTCCGCGGGGCCAGTCCCGGCGACGCAGCCACCCGGGCGCGCTCGCGCTCGCCCCGCCACGCGCGCCCCGAGCCCCAGTGCGCGCTCGGCGCCGGGGGTCCGGGGGTCCGGGGGGTCCGGGGGGTCCGGGGGGTCCGCGGGGCCCTGGCTCTGGGCGGCGCGAGGGGCTGGAGCAGCCGGCAGCGCAGGACGCCGAGCGCCAGGCGCCAGGTGCCGGCCGAGCTGCTGCGCGCCTGGGCGCCCGGCTGGGTTGGGGACAGTCGCTGGGTGCCGGCGAGCCGAGCTAGCGGATTGCAGCGGAAAAGCAAAGGTGAGCGTGTGTGTGAGACACAGATCGAGAGAGAGAAAGAGAGAGAGAGAGAGAGAGAGAGAGAGAGAGACACGCACTTGGGCACCTGGGTGCATCTGCGCTGCGTGGTGGTGCGCACCTCCGTGTGCTGGATGGAGAGTAGGTCCCGGTGCGCGGTTCTCCCTTCTGGGTGGGGGACGGTGATTCTGGTGGCAATGAACGGCCGCAGGTGTCCCGGCGTGAGTGGGGCTGCGGGTCGTGTGTGCGGGAACAGATGCGGCCGCGCCACCGCATGCCGGTGTGCGTGGCGTGCGCCCTCGTCCAGTCCTCGTCCCCCAGCCCACTCGTCTAGGTGGTGGCTGCGACGGGGACAACTTCTCTCCCAGCCACCTGCAGAAGAGCCACCACCGAGGAGAGCCAGGCCGCTGGGGTGGGAGGGGGCGTCCAGCGAGCCCTGCTGGGGGCCCCTGCGGGCTTCCATCCCCAGATCCGAGCTGGCAGCGGCTGGTGGCGGCGGGGCAAAGGGAGCGCTTCCCCATTCTTCCTTTCCCCGCCTGGGGGACAGAACCCGAAGGGTCTAGGGTCCGCTCCCCTGGAGCCCAGAAGCAGAGGGCAGTTTGCCTATGTTTGGAAAGACGAATCGCTCAGTGGCCTGAGCCCGCGGGGCGCTGGCCAAGTCCCCAAGCAGCTGTGGCCGGCTCCCGGCTCCCAGCGTCCCTGGTGCCTCGCCACCCCCCACTCTGCATTTAGAAACTGAGGTGCTGGCACAGCAGTCTTTAATCCCCCCCACACACACTCGTCACCTGGAAAGAGCAGGGAATTCTTTAGGAAATCCTTGGATCTGCGAGCCTTGGAGTTGGGTGGTGAGGCTTATCTGTGCCAGCGCGGGGGAAGCGGATGGACTGTCCTGAGCCTTCACCTCTCCCCTCGGCCCTTCGGCCAGCGCCGCCTCGGCTTCCCTTGGGCGCTCTAGCGCCGCGGTGGCCCGCACCTGGCTATTGTCTCTCCTTCCCCTACTGGGCTCAGCTCTGGCTCCCCCGAAACCTTCCCCGTTTAGCAGGTCACTGGAGAAGTGGCTGTGGGGAATGAATGGGGGGGGGGGGAGCGCGGGGGTGGACTGCAGGTGAGAAAGGAAAGGCTGGAGGCCAACAAGATTTAGCACCGCTCCTGATGCTCAGACCCCATCCCCACGCTTAATTCTTAGGCTCTGGGAAGTGGAAGGGATGCGTCAGACCACTCTCCCCCTCCTCTCCAACACAGCCCAGACTCAGACTCAGAGGAAAACCGACAACCAGCCATTTCCAGTGTCTGGAAGTGTTAGGCTGGAAAAATAAAGCAAGCAGAAAACCAAACTTCCTTGTGCGTGTAATCGAACTGCAATCCAACAAGTATTGATTGCCTGGCATTGGGCTCCACTTTCCCCGGGGCCCAAATGAAGCAGAAGTCCCTCGGAGACCTGGGGCAGCAGACTTCATTGTTAATGCAATCAGAGTCACTGTGATTTAAACTCATTTCTTCCTTGGAGGAGCCTCCCCACTCTGGACTGGCTGCCCAGCTTACCCCCTCTGCCCCTTTCACAAAGCTCTGCGCGCTATTACTGCTTCTTAGCCTATTTAGAAAAACAGTGACCCCAGGTGCAAGTCCATCCCACTGAGTGAGACTCTAGCCAAAAAGGCAGAGTTAGGGCTGGAGGTCAGCGTTTGACCTTCCCTCACTCACCTGCACCATCATCATCCCTATCCCCAAAACTCTAGGCAGAGCTTTTGCCCCTCACCGGTCTTCAGACTCACCCAGACATTGGAGTGTGACCTTGCCTAGTACACAGATGGGCCCCTGAAAGTGCTTGTGATTAATGTATGCTCTAGTGCAGGCGGCTTCAATAGGATTCTGGGTCTGTAGAATTAAAGTACCGATAAGACAGAAAAATAGTGGAAACAACCCAAATTAACCCAGGGATACCCAAAATGGTTTCTTTATAACTTTTCAAAAAATTATTTATTTACTCATGAGAGACACAGAGAGAGAGGCAGAGACACAGGCAAAGGGAGAAGTAGGCGCCCCACAGGGAGCCTGACTTGATGCTTGACTCGATCCCAGGACCCCGGGATCATGACCTGAGCCAAAGGCAGACGCTCCGCCGCTGAGCCACCCTGGTGCCCTAACGTTTGTTTTTAAAGGCTGCCAGCTTATGCTTTTCAACCAATGCAGACATTAAACCAGGGTCCCCAAAGTACTTAGCAGAAAGGTCAGCCACAAAACCCAGACCAGTCTGGTAAGGAAATTAGTATGGAGAGGATAAACAATGCGCCTGGCAGTGCAGAATGAATCAGAGGCAAAGGTGGCCAAGGATCGTGGAGTACTTGTTGCTGGTGAAGTCCCCCCTAGCTCATTAGCAATCTCTCCAAGCATAAAGGAGCAATCTCCAATCTTCACTCAGGCACCAGGGAAAGTGCCCTGCTCCGGAGAAATGTGTCTGCCAAGTGAATTGGGAATCACTGTATGCTGGGCACACTATGCCTTTACCATCTTCTCTCTTCCCAGAATGACCTCCTTCCTGCCCTTCCTGCTTCACTCTTCATATATTCAAGACTCAGCCCAAATATTACTGTTATGAAGCCTCCTCTGAATCCTCCAGAAGAGGAAGCATTCTTTTTTATTTATTTATTTGAGAGAGAAAGAGAACATGAGTGTGGGAGGGGCAGAAGGAGAGGGAGAAGCAGATTCCCCACCGAACAAGGAACCCGTAGAGGGGGGGCTCGATCCCAGGACTCCAGAATCATGACCTGTGCCCAAGGCAGACGCTTAACCACTGAGCCACCAAGGAGCCCCAAGGAGCCCCAAGGAAGGCATTCTTAAACCCTGCGTTCACTTCTCCACACAATTCACACCCTAGATGAGCTGGCTTCCTTGCCTGTCTCCCCTCCTAAATTGTCACCTCTTGGAGAGCATCAGCCCTGTCCTGTTCATTCCTGTATCCCTGGAGTGCAGAAAAAGAAGCCCCCCCACCTCCCCGCCCCACCGGTGCTGATTTTTGCATGACAGTAGATATTCATTTACTTATGTGATGAGCGATTGTTTTAGATCTTAGGCCAAGCCGGTAGTGTTACAGTTACTTTCCCAGCATGATGGTCAAACAGGAGTCAGCTGTTTTAAACCGAAGTCTAATTATCTGCCACTCGTTTTCCAGCCCACTGAGCAGCAGATAGGATGCTGTGAAAAGTGCAGCAGGGTCGGGTGTCCCGTGTTTAAATCTCAGTTCCACCAGTTATATATAGGGACTGGGAGCAAATTGCTTCAACTCCCTAAGCCTCGGTTTCTCATCTGTAAAATGGGGATGGTTACTTCATAGGACGGGTGGGAAGATCAAAGGGCTAATGAGTGTAAATGAGCAACGGTCCTGTTTGGAATTCACTTCTGTGAATGAGCCTGCTTCCTTCAGGCCTGGCTCCTATTTTCCTCCTTAATTGGTGGGATCCTAGGCAAATCGGCCTGAGTGTTAGAAGATGAGCATTCTGGAGCAGTATCCCCCTGAGGGACTCTCTGAAGCATGTGGAGGTCAAGCACTGGGTATTGGAGAAACGAAAACAGAAGAAACAAAATAAACTAAATCATGCGTTTGAAATATAAAAGCCAGCCAGATTTTTATTTTTAATATTTAAGACCATAAACTTGTTCATTATGTGGGCAGTTTTTGGTAAATTACAGATAAATGAGACGGTAGAGGACAAAAGGGGGAAAGATGAGGTTTTTTGAGTCCTATGAGCCTAGCACAACGGTAGGCATTTCCACACACATTTCATCCCTTAACCTTCCTGACGTGCGCATTAACCAACGAGAGTCAGAGTGGTTAAGCGCCTGACACGAGGTCACATAGGCTTCGTGGTGGAACCCTGGTTTGTTTTACCTCTAAAGTCCAGGATTTTTCCATTCTGGGGCTTTCAGAATGGAAAGACTCCAAAGCAGTCAGCAAGTCAGCGGAGATGTCCTCACCGAGAGCAGGCCAAGAATGCCGGTGTCAGGTCCCTCTGAGTCAGGGGCTGGACTTCACACTCTGCCTTTTTACTGTCTGGACCAGTCAACTTCTTAGGAATCAAAGTACGGGTTGTTGTTTTGTTTTGTTTTGTTTTTTTGTGTGTGTATGTGTGCATTTTGCAGCCACAGCCATCTCCCACATGTGCGTCACCAGAGATGACAAGATAAACTATGATGACTTAACCCAAACCCTTCCCCCTCCCCCCGTTGGAAAAACAACTCAAAAAGTCAGCATCCTGAGGAGAATGGGCTGGTCGCTCTAATGTTGAGGTAGACAGATAACACACTTCTCAACTGAAGAGTCTGAGAGAGTAAATCAGAAACGTGGAAGGCTGGTGAAAGCCTAAGTAGCCTCTGACTGATGGGCCCATCTTCCTGTTTTCCTTGCAGATGTCACACCGGATCCTTTGCCTTCAGGACACATTAAGGTGAGAATACGATCTCTGGCTGGCTGGAACTAGCCTAAGAGTGTAAGGCAGCCATGGATATGGAGTATGAGCTACTCAATGGGAGCCACACTTGGGTCTCCCCTCCTTTTGACCTCGATGGCTCTGTGGTGGCGGCCAACAGCTCAAACCAGACAGAGCCATACTATGACCTGACCAGCAATGCAGTCCTCACATTCATATATTTTGTGGTCTGCATCATTGGATTGTGTGGCAACACACTTGTCATTTATGTCATCCTCCGCTATGCCAAGATGAAGACCATCACCAACATTTACATCCTCAACCTGGCCATCGCAGATGAGCTCTTCATGCTGGGTCTGCCCTTCCTGGCCATGCAGGTGGCTCTGGTCCACTGGCCCTTTGGCAAGGCCATTTGCCGGGTGGTCATGACTGTGGATGGCATCAATCAGTTCACCAGCATTTTCTGCTTGACGGTCATGAGCATCGATCGATACCTGGCTGTGGTCCACCCCATCAAGTCGGCCAAGTGGAGGAGACCCCGAACGGCCAAGATGGTCAATGTGGCCGTGTGGGGAGTCTCCCTGCTGGTCATCTTGCCTATCATGATATACGCTGGGCTTCGGAGCAACCAATGGGGGAGAAGCAGCTGTACCATCAACTGGCCAGGTGAATCTGGGGCATGGTACACAGGGTTCATCATCTACACCTTCATCTTGGGGTTCCTGGTGCCCCTCACCATCATTTGTCTTTGCTACCTGTTCATTATCATCAAGGTGAAGTCCTCTGGGATCCGCGTGGGTTCCTCCAAGAGGAAAAAGTCTGAGAAGAAGGTCACCCGGATGGTGTCCATAGTGGTGGCTGTGTTCATTTTCTGCTGGCTTCCCTTCTATATATTCAATGTCTCCTCTGTCTCTGTGGCCATCAGTCCCACACCAGCCCTTAAAGGCATGTTCGACTTTGTGGTGGTCCTCACCTATGCCAACAGCTGTGCCAACCCTATCCTGTATGCCTTCTTGTCTGACAACTTCAAGAAGAGCTTCCAGAATGTCCTCTGCTTGGTCAAGGTGAGCGGCCCAGATGACGGGGAACGGAGTGACAGTAAGCAGGACAAATCCCGGCTGAATGAGACCACGGAGACCCAGAGGACCCTCCTCAATGGAGACCTCCAGACCAGTATCTGAACTGCCTGAAAAATAAATAAATAAAACGCCAAGCTCTGCCAAGTGGCAAGTGCTCCCTCCCCCCTGCCCCCTTTCCTTCCTCCCACCCATCACACCTGGCTTCTAGAATAGGAAATTGCTCAGCATGAGTCCAATCAGAGAACAGTGTCTGAGTGAATGATAATGTATTAAATTGATGACACCCCTCCCCCCACTTAAAATGAACATTTAAATGCAGGCAGACAATTCCAAGTCAGGAGAAGAAGAGATCACGCTTGGGTCTGATCTGTAGAAATGGTGAAGCTCAACAAAAATAGAAAAGTCTATCTGCGTGTTTAAAACCTAATATGTAATCTTGTGGTCTTATATTTATACTTATCTATTCTACTCTTCTCTAGTCCCTGTGTAGTCACTACCTATGTTTCCTGTGTTCAAAAGTACACGAGTAGCAGATTGAAGTGTGCCTAGTATAGGTGGACGTTTATTACAATATGGTACCCGCAGAAATGGACTTGCCATGAAGCCAATAAAGTTTAAGCTTCAGGGATCTCTCATGCTTGGCCAGTATTTTCACATGATCACATGTTTTTGTAAAAAATCGTAAAAGTAAGATGCTTTTGTATTTTTTTTTCTTAAGGAGGTCTCCTTAAAGCTCCCAGTATCTCAAACCCCTCTCTGCCCCCCCCCACCCCACCCTGGGTATTAGCCTTACTAATATCAGGTGAGTTAGATCAAGAAGATATTTGAGGACCCAGAACATAAATTCATGTGTTTTCTCTTCTTAAGATATAATCAAAGAATTATACATTTATCCAAAAGGACTTAAATGGTTGGGGTCATCCATTATTGTATTTACCAAGACAAAGCCTGCTTTGTAATAAGATTGCATTTTTTTCTTAATTTGCTTTAGTCTTTCTTAGGGAGCCATGGAAGGGGAGAGTGGAGGAAATCACCAATACGAAAGGCAAAAAATGGACCACGATTCTCGATACTCAAGGGGAAAGCATTTTATTTTCCCCACCATGAAAATAAATGAAAAAGAATAAAGCAAAATTACACCTTTACGAGAAACCATGAAATTCTTTTTTTTTTTTAAATGCCAGACATGGCTTCCTAATGAAAGAAGATGGAACTACATACAGTTCAATGACTCCTCTATGTTTTTTTTTTCTTTTTTAAGGAGTTGAAACAAAGCAAGGCACTAAAAAAAAAAAAAAAAAAAAATCAGTGCCCTAAAGACCTGGGGACCCAGTCCCTAAAACATGAACATGTCCGCCAGCCCCACAATATGTAGCCCAGAGCAGGTGCACAGGTAGGAGTGTCGGAGGGAGTCCCGTGCCTCTCAGGTACACCTGTGCCACCTTCCTCGCCCAGGGTAGATGCATTAGACATCCACCTTTAATGCTACAGATGCTCTGAGCTCTTCCTCAAGCACGGTCATCACAGACAGGCACTTCACACCGCCAGTGACATTTTTCTGTCCCTGAAATGGTAGATGGGCTCACGTACAAATGCTAAGAAAAGAGATGGTGCCCCTTTCACTGATCACCATTTCCAGGGCAGGAAGAAATACACACTCAGGTGTTTGCAACGATGCCATCATCTCTGGGTTTCTATGAAAGCCTCGCTCTTAGTGTCTCACATATAGATTTTATCGTAAAAATGAGCTTTCCTCTCCTGGCTCCCTGAGCAAGGGCTGTTTGACAGGATGAGTAAGAACTCTCTACCTGTGGCTCTCGCTGGTAATGTGCTGCCTTCATTCTGTCTATATTACTCATGCCACCTCATTCCCTGGAGCACTTCTGCAGCCTAGATAAGCGTGTTCAGTAATATTTACGATAGATAAGTAAATCCGTGCAAAAGTTAAAAGAGGTACAATTATAAGATGAAACCCTAAGGAAAGCTGTGACCCAGAAGTGCATGCAGTAAAATCTCTGGCCATCACTGAGGGAAAGGTTGGCTACAAGTTCCGCTCAGGACTTCCTAGCCATGCAGGTGGTGACTGATAGAAGGTGACTCCTCCTCCTCCCCCTCCTCTGCCATAAAAACAAGCAGAGATTTGGAAGGAAATGCTTTAAACCCAACTTTACCATTACTAATAATATGAGATGTCCCAGGGCCTTTGAATAAATGCTGATTTTTGTTTGTTTGTTTGTTTTTACTTAGGGAAGTGATTCCAAGGGACCAAGAACTGGTGGAAATAATTTCAGGGAAGACAGACTCACTCTGTAGCATTCAGGCCCCTGCAATCAGACACTGCCTCCAAGGAGGCCACGGCCCACAGCAGCCATCTAAAGTCTTCAAACAAAATGCATATCCAGGTATACAGTCGGTGCTCATCAGCACGATGATCATTCTAACGGGCCTTTAAGGCTGAAGCTATAATTCTGTCCAAATCAGCAGGCAGGTTGCTTCTCTATGAAAAGGAATCCTCTACTTCTTGAAATACCTCTTTCAAGGATAACTTGCTTTCTGGTGGTTTTCTTTCTTCCGAAAGAGGGAATAAGCGTTTCAATTTAAATGTTAATACGATTTTAATTCCAATATGTAAGCTTAGCCTCAACTCAACATTTAATTATGAACATAAATCTGCTGGATGCTGGGAGAGAACAAAAAGTAATGCCACTCCATTGATGTGAGGGCAGCTGATCATTTGGATCATGCGAGCTACTATTTAACCTACCCATGAACATGGGTAATTAAGAGCTGGTTAAACCTCAGTGGATCTGGTGAGAGAGCTATCAGGAGAGAGAATGTGACACTGTGGCCTGTGTTGAATGATGCTGGTTTGTGTTTCGGTAACACAGAGGGTTGAGGACTATCGAACGTGGAGTTCGTGCCATAGCTTGGGACAGTCTGGGTGGACAAGGAGAAGGCCACTGGGGGATAGAGGACACTGCATTTCCTTCCTTTGTTTTTGGAAGAAGAAAGAGGAGGAGGCAGGAGGCAGCAGGGGAAGAGGAAGAAGAGGAATCCTTACTCTCGATTAGCTGAGGCTGCTAGCAAGTGCTGAGCAGAACCTGTAGCTGACCTCTCCTTAAGTTATATGGTGGGATTTGACTGCACGCACTGCGGGTAGCAGCTTTTCCCGCAGACTCATTTTTAAACTATACCTCTTTTATTTTTTTTATTTCTTGCATGGATTTACTTATCTATCACAAATGCTATGCAGAGAAGAAAATGTGGGCTGGTGAGTGAGACTTCCAGAGCTGGCGGTGAACTGGAGTCTATTTGCTTACACAGATTTAACCTCCTCCCCACGGCAGCATGCAAGTGTTGATTGCTAGATAGGAGCACCGTGCCGGCCAAGTGTACAGTCTGGTCATTGAGAGAGGTAGGAAGGAATGTCTGTGGGGATGCATGTTCCTCTTCAGCTCCAAGTGTGACTGTTCAAGACAGCTAAGTGAGGAGGGAAGGCAGAAATGAACTCCTGCCTAGTTGAAGGAAGGTGGCAAGAGAATCATCGAAAGGCTCCATATACGGTTGGGAAGGTCCCATTAGTGTTTCTGGACCATGTGGCATCGTAAAAATCACCACAGGTGGCAAGCCAAGCATTTGAGCTTTGTAAGTAATAATTTATATTTGGTCACTTGTCTGATCCCCATTTCTACCAGGTTCAAAAAACATCAAGTTCTCTATCAAATATCCTATCAGAGCAAATCTTCACCTCACTGGTTATTCTCCTTCTAATATGTGGATTTCTTGGAACGTTCCCACAGGCCGAGTCTCATTTTTTTTTTCCCTAGCAGCTCATCTGGAAAGCAGGCACCGGGGATTATATTCTACTTCACAGCCGAAAAGCTTTCATGGGTCTATTACCTGAGTCAGCAGACCGGTTAGGGTTGGGAATAGCAACTGCGGGACAAGTGTTCATGTCCCCCACCCCTACTGGCCACTGTCCCTCCGTTAACTCCTCAGTGACCGAGCACAGGCTGATCAGCTAGTTTTCTCCCTTGGATGTGTCAGGTTGCATGTATCTGGGCTGTTGCTTCAAAACAGAGTTAAACATTAGCCAAGACTTGAGCAAGCTGAATATAAAACTACTGATTCCCCTGGGATTAAAAGTGAGTATGACAAGTGAAACGCTGTGGCTTGCTCCCTGGGTTCCGTGGGCGTCTGCCTCCTGTCGGACGGACGGAGATTTTCAGCAGGAGATGGATCACACAGACCCAATCAGGTGTTTGGAGAGGAAGGGAGAGATGCTTTAGCTTTTCATCCCTCCTCTCCCCTGGTATTACTGAGAGGACGGAAGAGGGAGAGAAGACCCCTTTGCCAGGATACTGGTGTCTGGTGAGGAGAGGTGGCTCACGTCTGCCCCTGGGCCTACCAGCACTGGTCAGACATAAAATGGCCCTGTCCTTGCTAGGAAAGCCTGTTGAGGAGCCTAACGCAAGATCTACTCCAAGAGAAATCTGAAATGGCGTGCCACAGCCTTGCCCTCTCCCATTATTCGGTGACTGGGGCCTCCGATTGCTTAAGCAACAGAGCAGGTCCCTTGCAGGGCAGTCATGGAAGGAAGAAAGGCAGCTGAGCTGTGGTTTACCAAATCAGACAGTCATAACCCTAAACACAGGAGACACAGTTGTCCCAGGACCTTACAAAGATCAGATTGCAAAGTGACCAGAACAGGGTCCCTGAGGAAAACTGCTAGTCTCAAAAGAGGAGGACCCACGGTTAGCTCTACCGGACGACCTGCAAGCTCACCCACGTCTGCCCTCCAGGGCTCCCTGTCCATGCACCAGGCACCTCGAAGGAGCAGCAATGCCACTCCTGGGGTGCTCCCCCTTCCTCGCTGATGGTTGGGGTACCAGTTCCCATGGAGGTTCCTGTCCCCAAGCGAGGGATTGTGGCCATCACTGAGAGGGCAGATATTTTTCCCCATGGGTATTATTTTCAACAAGAAACCCAAGTGGTTCTCTGACGACATAACCGAGGCCTGGTTGTTTACTCAACATTCACCGGCATCCTATTTCTCGGGACAAAGGGACAGTCTCCTAAGGCTCACCACACTTTGTGCTCTCAGGCACAGGTACCCCGGTGATGCAGTGCACACAGGTGACGCAGTGGAGCCCACGTGTGGCACACACACGTGATGCACACGTACTCACACACAATCCGCCTTCTACATCTTGTAGGCAAGACTTCCAATGCAGGGATTCTCCAAGGCTTTCAATGGAGGGACAGAACTATAATTTGACTAACTCATTTAAAGTCAAGGGATATACACTCTTTCCTTTCTTTTTTTTTTTTTTTTAAATGGGAGGGGATGTCGTGTATAAGCCAATTTTTCACGCAAAGACTCCGTGCCAGGTCGTCGACTGCATTCCTGCCCCACCCTGCTGTCCCTGCAAATAGCAGGCCACTTCAATTTAAAAAAAAAAAAGTAAAGTTGGCAAAATTACAAATCATCCCCACTAGTCAACCAACTGGAAGCACATGTTCTGCTAACGGCAATAGTTCTGCACAAGGAAAAACACACAATTTCTTTGCAGAAAAATCGCTCAATATAATTTTCAAATGGATACCCACAGAAGACAGATCCTAACAGACATTTCTTCCCCACTGTGTTGCTTTTTTTTTTTCCATTGAGGTATAATTGACAGACATTATATTTGTTTCAGGTATACTATACAACATAACGACTTGATGTTTGCACACAAATGCAAATGAGCACCACAGCAAGTCCAGGTGGTATGACCATCCATCACCATACCTAGTTCCAGAATTCTTTGTTTCTTGTGATGAGAACTTTTAAGATTTACTGTCAGGAACTTCCAAATAGGCAATACAGTATTATTAACTATAGCAGCCATGCTGTACCTTATATCCCCTTGACTTACATATTTTAGAGCTGGAAATCTATTTTTTTTTGAGCGTCTTCATCCATTTCACCCCCACCCCACTTCCTGCCTCTGGAAGCCACCAGTCTGTCACCTGTATCTATGAGCTTGGTTTGGTGGGTTCTTTTGTTTTAGATTCCACACATAAGTGAAATCATATCATATTTATCTTTCTCTGACTTATTTCACTTAGCATAATGCCCTCAAGATCTATTCATGTTGTCGCAAATGGCAAGATTTCATTCTTTTTTTATAGCTGAATATTCTAGCGTGTGTGTCTATATATCACATATATATCACATGTTATATATATATCACATATATATTATATATGAGATATACGTGAGATATATATGTATATCTCATTTTCTTTATCCATTCGTCCATTGTTTCTAGGTCTTGGCTATCATAAATAATGCTGCAATGAATATGGGGGTGCAGATACCTCTTTGAGAGCCTGTTTTCATTTCCTTTGGATGGATAAATACCCAGAAGTGTGACGGTTGGACCATAGGGTAGTTCTATTTTTAATTTTTTGAGGAACCTCCATAATGTTTTTCAAGGGACTGCACCAACTGACATTCCTACCAACAGTGCAGAAGGGTTCTCTCTTCACATCCTCGCCAGTATCTCTTGCTTGTCTTCTGGATAATTGCTATTCTGACAAATGTGAGATGGTATCTCATTGTGGCTCTGATTTGCATTTCCCTAATGATGAGTGATGCTGAGCATCTTTTCATGTACCTGATAGCTATCTGTATGTCTTCTTTGGAAAAATATCTACTCAGATCCTCTGCCCACTTGTTAATCAAATGTCTGTTGTTATTAAGTTTTATGAGTTCATTATATATTTTGGATGCTAACCCCTTATCAAAGATATGATTTGCAAATGTTTTCTCCCAGTCAGTGGGCTGCTGTTTCATTCTGTTCTTTGCCTTGTAGCAGCTTTTTAACTTCACGTAGTCCCACTCATTTATTTTTGCTTTTGTTGCCTTTGCTTTGGGTATCAAATACAAAAAAATCATTGCCAAGGGGCACTTGGGGGCTCAGTCAGTTAAGTGTCTGCCTTCGGCTCAGGTCATGATCCCAGAGTCCCGGGATCGAGCCCTGCATTGGGCTCGTGGCTCAGTGGGGAGCCTGCTTCTCCCTCCCCCTTGTATTCCCTCTCTCTCTTTCTCCCTCTCCAAATAAATAAATAAAAATCTTTAAAAAAAAATCATTGCCAAGACCAATGTCAAGGAGCTTACTATGTTTTCTTCTAGGAGTTTTATGGTTTCTGGTCTTACTTTTAGGTCTCTAATCCATTTTGAGTTTATTTTTGTCTTTGGTGTAAGAGGTCCAATTTTTTTTTGCATGTGGCTGTCCAGTTTTCTCAACACCATGTATTGAAGAGACTGTCCTTTCCCCATTGTCGGTTCTTGGCTCTTTTGTCATAGCTGACCATGTATATGTGGGTTTATCTGTGGGCGCTCTATGCTGCTCCACTGATCTATTGGTCTGCTTTTATGCCAATACCATACTATTTTGATTAGTATAGCTTTGTGCCTCCATGATTCTTAATATAAATCTGAGGTTGAACACTTTGGGGGAAGTGGAGATGCTTGGCCACCAAGAAAATGAACTGCAGTTCTCTTCCTCAGGCATGAGCACACCTCCACAAAGAGGCTCTCCACCATAAAAGAAGTCTTCCCCTTGTCCATCATCCCGCTACAATGCATTTCCATGGTTCAGGATATCTACATCAACTCCTTTTGTGTGCTTTTTAAGTACCTGCCAGTATGCGATGGGGAAGAGAGCTGTGCTGGCCCATCTGCAATCCAGATACTTCTGGAGCAAAGACTCAGATTGGATAAAGACTCACTTTGTTTGGCTTCAGCTGAAATGCTTTTTAGCAGCTTAAAATAGTCTCCTGAATCTTCCAAACTCCCAGGTGGCTAGGCACTATAGTATTTACCACAGGCGTGCTCTGGGAGGCAACTAACCACAGACGGTTCATTTTTCCTTTCCTCTGCACCTTCACATGACCTTCTTTTGCATTCTCCTCACTCTAAAGGGCCTGTGGGCTGAGAGGTGACAACATCCTCAACCATGCTGCATGTGGCTGCTGCTGGGGGCGGTCTTTGCAGCCGGGGAAACCCATCCCTCCTCAACCTCAAACAGAGTATTTCTGGTCCAATGGAGCAGATACAAAATCTGGTTTGCCATCAGCAACATGGTTCTGGGCTGTTGGGTCAACGTGGAAATGGGTTTTCAGAGGATTTGGGATTTCAAGGGCCTCCTTAACTGCCTCCAGGATCAATGAAGTCAACCCTCATTGCTGGAGAAGCGCCAAAGCAAGGCACTGAAGTGACAGACTGTGTCAGCGGCGAAGCCTAATGTCAGAGGCGGCCTTCAGGAATGCAAAGTCAGCTGAGCTCCAGAGGTCCTCGGGTAACGTCAAGAGAGGAGACAGGGCACCTGTGAGCAGGGAGTCTCACATTCTAAAAATCTAGCTCATCTGAGTCCATGTCCTTTAGCCATCTCGTCCACCCGTCTTTCAAAACAGTGTTCTCTAAGGTTTATGGAAACATATACCTACGCTGAAATTTTTTAAATGGCTTCTCTTGAGAAGTCCGCAATGCCCACCTTTAAACAATAGCAAGGCACACCTTAGTTTTCACAAAATGAGAAAGTGGGAACCAATTCTGAAGGAAATAGTCAGCAGAGGCATCCATCCCCCTGGTGGATGATGCAGAGCCAGGCCTCATTCCCGCCCCCTTCCACCCCCCAGCTTCTGCTAGTGGTGTGGCCTCAGACAGGAGCGGGCCACGGCGCAGCTGAATGGAAGAAAACGGTTCCTAATAAGAGCAACCAGCTAACGGAGGCTGCTTTCCCATCGGTTTGGAGGAGGAGAGAATCCGCCAGCCCGGCCAACACAACCAAATGCTGTGAGCGGCCTCCACGCTCACCCTATCCCATGGCAAGCCCAAAGCAGACAATCCGACTCTCCGGAATGATTTGGAAGCCATTTCTCCAGGAATAAAAAAAATAAGTAAATATCTCCATTCCACCTTCCAACAGCCTGAGAATCATGTCAGCAAGAAAGAAGAGAGTACGGGGCTGACTCTGACAACATGTTCGGTGATAGTTTAACGCGTGTGGCGTCTTTCCTAGTAATCTGTCCATCACTCCCTGGCTGCCACTCACCAGGGAATGACAGTGGGTTTCTACAAATAGTACATCAATCACTATCGTGGGAGATTGAAAGCCCGTCCTACACGGGCACTCACACGGCCCGTCACCCCTCTCTGTTCTTCTGAGCAGCACTGACATGGTTTGCATCCTCCTCCTGGACGGTGGGGGGGGGGTCAGGAAATCCGAACCTTTGGGCCCCCTCCTACCCTCCCAGGAAGGCTTTACTGAGTTTTCTTTCTCCTTCCATGCTCCTGACAAGGAAACTGGGGACATCCAGAGAAGCCTTCAGCAGCCCCGCCTGCAAAAACACTGTCAGTGACGTGATGTGATTGATGTTTTTAATATGTCAGGAATAGGTATGCACGCAAGCTATTTTTATTATTCCTGTGGTATTTTGAATGTTATTCTTCTTAACGTGTAATTCCTGCATGTCCAGTATTGAGATGAAATTGCTAAAACTGCCTTTGCCTTCAAATAAGCTCTGTCTTTGTGAATGTGTACGTTCCTCTGTATGTCAGATAAATTGGCCTCTATCTTTGCTGCTGTAATTGCCTGTCTATACCAGAAAGCAAGAAGCAAACACTGCTTTTTAGTGACTTTATTTCTTTTTTATTTGCAAGTGTACCGTACTATAAACTACCTTCACATGAAATCATACTTTCCACCGAAGGGACCCAGACTGAAGTTTGTTCACTAGGCCACCTATGTGAGCTCCCCTCTGCTCCCACCTACCCCTGAAAGAGACTCTACACATTCAGGACGATGGGCGATGGTCCTAGGTCACGAGATAACCCACACTTTCCAGATTTCCTGACACTCTGAACTAGAAGCTTTAGAATTTTTTTTTTAACGCTAAGCCCAAAGAAAAGCCGACAAAAACGTTTTCTAGATATCTTAGCAATCATTTGGTAGCAAGAGAAAAAACAACATTTTAAAATAGACAACCACTCCTGAGTGCCATTTGGTCCATAGACTGATCCTTAATGACCCAATATGATGGCCTCCAGATTCTGGGGCCGAGTTTAAAGAGCACGGCTGAGGGATCCCTGGGTGGCGCAGCGGTTTGGCGCCTGCCTTTGGCCCAGGGCGCGATCCTGGAGACCCGGGATCGAGTCCCACGTCAGGCTCCCGGTGCATGGAGCCTGCTTCTCCCTCTGCCTGTGTCTCCGCCTCTCTCTCTCTCTCTCTCTGTGACTATCATAAATAAATAAAAAAAAATTTAAAAAAAAAAAATAAAAAATAAAGAGCACGGCTGAGTCACGGCAAAGCACACGGTGAAGGGGGAGCTCCCAGAGTGCCATACGGATGTGCCAGGTCCCGCTGATGGCAGAAGTGATTACAGGGAAATATCAAGTGCTTTAGAATTAGGTCAAAAAAAAAAAAAAAAGAACTTTTTTCTATCACCCTCTCATCTTCGTTCCAGTCATTCAAAATCAAAACCTAATGAAAATGTCTAGCTGCTTAAAACAGGGTCTTAGTTACAAATCAGACCGCTGAAACCAGAGAAGAAAAGTGAGCTAATATTTGGAGTGCTCAAAATGGACCAATCTCTGTGCTGGGCACTTTACAGGCGTCATCTCATTCAGTTCCCACAGGTGCTAACACCCACTCCACAGGCGAGGAAACCGAGGTGTGACAAACTTGCATCACTCGACCAGAACCTGCGCTCTGAACCACTCTGCCACAGTACACTTCCACCTGACGATCCCGAGCCCACGCTTCCTCGTCTGCAAACCAGGGATAGCAGCACGAACCTCACAGGGTTGCGTAAGAGTCTGGATCAAAGGAAATATCTTAAATAATTTATCACGTTATCAGGCACACAGAGGTAACCCAGTAAATAGCAGGTTTCCCTCACCTTCAATCACAGCAAAAAAAAAAAAAAAAAAAAAGACCAGAAACTTCTTGGTTGTTAAACAACTGACCATTTTCTAATTGGCTAATATTAAACTGTAGCTTCTAATCCTGCCATTAGTAGAGAGCTTAGCTGGCACTAACACCACCAGCCACGTGATGCAAGATGAAAGCCGGTCCAGAGCAGAAAAGTAAATGCATTATGTGTGTCTGCCGATAAGGTGTACACGCCTTCTGTCTACACGGAGTGTTCCTTTATGGAGAAGGGGCTTTCCTTCCCTGCCAAGCCTAACTAAACTTTGGTCTCCTCCAGAACGGACCTGGGATACCACTTCCCGCCTCCCTAAACAGAGCCTCATACTGCCGAAACATTCTAGAAGCTTAGCAGTTCGTGACATGTTAGAAATTGCTGAGTTAGTCCTTTATTTTGCCCCCAGTGTGAGACCATGGGCGGCCTGGGGCCTGGTGCTAACCAGAAGGAGGGGATCGTGCCACTAATCCTCGGTGTGTAACCATCTGTATTGCTCTTGGTCCAGCCAGAAACAGATGGCACACTCAAAGGGGTTTAACTGAAATGAATGTAATGAAGGAATTGTGCACAGAGGTGTGGGTGGGCGTAAGGGCATCAGCCAGAGAAGGATGAGGCGCCCGGACGCTCCATGCAGGTGCAAGCCTTTACCAGCCCTGGAGCTCAAGGGCCGAGGGAGGAGATGATGTTCTAGAGCCCAGCAAGCGCCGCAGCCATGGGGAAGGTGGGACTCCATGGGAGCTATAGCTGTAAGGTAACTCAGCCAGGGCCAGAGGGGCAGAGAGCCCAGTGAGGCAGCCCACAGAGGTCCGCCTTAAGGCACAGAATGTGGACAGGGCGGCGGGGAGGAGGCACGTGGAGAATTACCAGCATGTCAATGCACAGACCAGCCCCCATGTCGGGACCCCAGCACCCTCAAAGCTGCCTACAGTCTGTTGGCACAGCTGGAGGGAGCTCAGGAGAATTTCCACATTAGGTATGGGGGGGTGGGGGAGCTGAAGGGCCCTGGGGGGTTGCCCTTCACTCTCTAATTCCTAAGAGGATAAACTGGATTTTCAGAAACCTCCATTTTCAGTGGAGGTTTCAGTATCTGAAAATGATACTTAGAATTTCAGGTTGTGTGCATCGGATGGCTTAGGTGGTACAAAAGTGGTCCAGGGTTCGAGTTCCAACCACACAGTACTCTGGGTGGTTAACTCCCAAAGATTTAACTGCCTGGGGCACTCACACTTCAGAATATAATTTTATGGTCTCCCTTTGGAAGATATTGATTTGGGGCGCCTGGGTGGCTCAGTCGGTTAAGCGTCTGCCTTCAGCTCAGGTTGTGATCCCGAGGTCCTGGGATCAAGCCCCACGGTTCCGCTTCTCCCTCTGCCTCTCCCCCTGCTTGTCCTCTCTCTCTTTCTCTCGAATAAATAAACAAATACAATCTTTAAAAATATATATATGTATATACATACACCAATTCTTCTGCACGA